CCCCAAAACCCCAAAACCCCAAAACCCCAGTTATTATAGAGATTATTGGAGGAATTTTAGTAAAATTTAAGGATTTAACTATATTTTATGAGTTTTAGAAAGGGATCTTTGCTTTTCTGCTTAGTTTTCCTCAAGGTGTTTAGAATTGACGAGACTAGAATTGTTAGAAACTGCCTTCTTACATTCATTTGATCTTCCATAGGCTAAGTTAAGGTTGATCTTTTCCTGAATTTTGTCTCTACCTGTACTCATGCAGAATTTGTTTCTATCACAGTTAAGATTTGAATTATGAAGGAATTAAAAAGAAATTATTTAGTGATATTCATACCTGAATGTCTCAAACTTCTCTTTAACTTGTTTAAACTGCTGTTTGTTGCTGAACAGCTTGTCTCTGAGAGACCTAGAATTAGGAATCAGTTAGAAAGCTTACTCCCTAGCCTGGCTCTTCATATTGAGCATGCTGATCTTTCTATCTGACTTTGTATTGTTGAAAAGTCTTTTAGTGGTTCTCATTTGAACTGTGGCAGTGCTCTTCTGACACTTTTGGGAGTTATTTCAACCACTTTTCTACTCAGATTAGACATGTTTGAGCTCATACCTGCGAGACAGTTAGGTCTTAAAGATTTATTTATGTGTTCTTAATGATAATTTAAACTCTTGTTGGTCTAAATAAAGGTCCTTCATTCCTCCTGAGTTATGAGAAATATAGCTATCTCTGCCAGTGCCTAGGGTTGTCAAATAGCTTCTTACCACTAGCATAATAATTAACTGCGCTTAGTTGTTTTCTAGAGATTTGAAATGAAAGCCTTACGATGGTTGGAATGAGGGTGACTGATAAGTTTTAGTCATGAATGTAGATCCTAGGTTTGGCGTAAAGTCTACTTTTCACATTCCTCCATTCTGCTGAGTTATGTACGTATCCCTTCCTTTTCCATCTGAAGGATATTTACAATATTTTGGATGAAATGTTCGTTCAAGAGACAATTTTGGCATAATTTTATTTTCAATTTAATTATAACTAAAGGGGTTTTGGGGTTTTGGGGTTTTGGGGTTTTGGGG